AAAGCAGAGGCACTTTTCAGCGGTATACTGGCAATGGATCTAAAAAGGATGGTGACAAGGTGAAAAATTACCAAGGAAAGGGAGGCCCTCATTCAGGGGGAGCTTCCAAGAATCGCGGTAATAGTAGAAAGTTCGATGGCAAGTGTTACAATTGTGGGAAGATGGGCCACATGGCAAAAGACTGTTGGACCAAGAAAAAGCCTGTTGAAAGTAATACTGCTACTTCTTGTTCGAAGGAGAATAGTGAAGATGGTTGGGATGCTGAAGCGTTATTTGCTACGGAGGAAGAAGAATTAGCTCTCATGGTAACAACACCAGAACGGATTGACTACAAGAATGATTGGATCGTAGATTCTGGCTGCTCAATCATATGACGGGTGACAAACAGAAGTTGCAAAACCTGTCTGAGTACAATGGAGGTCGTGTGGTGGTGACAGCTGACAACTCAAGGTTACCGATAACTCACATTGGTAAGACAATAGTTACTCCTCGATATAATACTAACCAGGTGCAACTCCAAGATGTTTACCATGTCCCAGGAATGAAGAAAAATTTGCTATCTGTGGCTCAACTAACATCATCAGGCCATTATGTCTTATTTGGTCCCCAAGACGTGAAGGTTTATCGTGACGTCAAAATCACAGAAACACCAACAATGGAGGGACGACGTTTGGAATCAATTTACGTGATGTCAGCAGAGTCTGCATATGTGGACAGGACAAGGAAAAATGAGACATCAGATCTATGGCACATGCGGTTAGGTCACGTTAGCTATTCCAAGCTAAGTGTGATGGTGAAAAAGTCGATGCTTAAGGGGCTTCCTCAACTAGACGTGAGAACAGACACGGTCTGTGCGGGATGCCAGTATGGTAAAGCACACCAATTACCATATGACGAGTCGAAGTTTAAAGCAAAAGAACCTTTGGAGTTGGTTCACTCTGATGTGTTCGGACCGGTTAAGCAACAGTCAATTAGCGGTATGCGGTACATGGTAACATTCATTGATGACTTCTCCAGGTATGTGTGGGTTTTCTTTATGAAAGAAAAATCTGATACTTTCTCAAAGTTTAAAGAGTTCAGAGACTCA